TAGGCTGGGGTCAGGTGGGATTGTTGGAATGAGGGTAGTTATCTATCTGCAGGACACATGGCAGCATTTTGGCCACAGGCAGCCAAGTGTGCCCAGGGTGTAAGTTGGGTTGGTTTTGAGCTCTTAAGTAGACAAAATCATAAGAGAATTTGTATTTAAGAAAAATTTCTGTTTCTCTACATGTAATTTTAAAATTTTAATTCTGAGCTTTAATATCAACAACAAACCACTACTGCTTGACTTAAGGGACCATCAGTAAAGGGTAGGCACTGGGATGACATGTCCATGTGTGTAATGGGAGGTGAGAGCTTTGTTGTCCAACTTATCTACAATCTTTGGTTGTTCATTCATGATTTATGCTTCGGCTTAGTCAAAGCTATTAAGGAGAGACTAGACCTGATATTCCCTGAAGACCCCTTTTACCTTCACATTCTACGATGTTCTTTGCTGGTTTCCTTAAGCTATGATAAAGCTAAATACATAAGAAGCATAGCTGTGCTACCAATCTAAGGCTTACTAAGACCATTTTAACAGGGATAGAGGAAAGGAGGAGAAAGAATGAACACTGACTGAATGAATATACAGGGAGAATTACCCTTTCAATCAGTATGAAAAGCTTGTTGGATCAGGGTTGGGGTTTACCTGTCTGTTTCTTCAGGCTAACTTGATTATTAACTGCCAGTAAAATATTCCTTCCAGGATTAGTATGCAGAATGATAAGCCTGTAAGATGCTGGTATAGTTAGCACACACGCATAGAAGCTGATGGAGCTTCACTCCTCAGGGCACAGCCAGGGACCTACAGAACTAGTGCATCTACATGCCAGAGTCCCAGGTGTGACTGGATATGCTGTCTGCAGCTTTGTGACCTCATTTCATTGGCTGTCAAGTTGTCCTGATAGCACCAGGTAAGGGTCCTCAAGTGCAATGTCTAAATTGTAGTGAATAGCAGAAAAGAATGACAAAAGTCTATTATATGAGACAGATGAATACAATATTCCTTTCCAAGAGGCCAACCAGGCACACATCTGAGAAAGAGGGAAGTTTGCAGCTTTGGATTGTGGAAGCATCTTAAGAATGGCCCAGACTAATCTGGTTTAAGCCCCAAATATGACCTACATTCACGAAGAAGATAGTGGGTCAAAATTGGGGTGACACATTTTCTCCACTTGCTTTATATTTTAGAGCCTTTACAACCCCACCTGTCATGAAGGAGAAAATACTACTGACCCTGTCCTGGAGAAATCAAGGGCTGTGTTTTTGAGGCTAACAAATAAACAAAGACCTGTGCTCCCTCTGCTGGCCCTCATAGCAATATTGAAGTGGGCAGGAGCCATAAACAGTGTTGGCATCTCAAGAAAACACCAGCCAATTCAGAGATACTGAGAATAATCTCCTTGAACTTGGTTTTAGACATTCCTCAGAATAAAAACATACTCTCACCAACTTCAGACCAAGGTACCAATTCTGAAAGTTAGATATTACAGGAGACATACCTACTGTATGTCAATTGCCAAATTGCTAGCTGTGACCACAATAGTTATTTTGGGATTCATTTATCAATAGACACAAGAGGATTCCTCCAAGATTTTAAGGTTCAGACACAATCTTTAGAGCAGGTCCAGGAAAAAAAAAAAACAATCAAACAAACAAACAAAAACCCAAACCACCCCCAAAACAACAAACAAACAACAACAACAACAAAATAGTAACAAAGAAACCCCCATGCAAGTCCAAATAAGTTTCTTTCCCCCTTTTTGTTCAGTAAGAGCAGCTCCCAAAGGTAAAGATTTACACTATATCCCTTTGGATAATGTCAAACATCAGACTGGATTCTCCAAGTCATTAGCATGCAGAAGAATGACCTCATGGTGAACAGATGCACTTGGCTGTGAGCTGCAGTGATTACATCAGTCCCTCCCCAGCACTCGAGGGTGCCCATTCCAGTTAACCCTTTATAGGCCTTCCTGTTGGGCCCCTTCCTTGATAACTTGAAAACACAAACTTGGTCCTCTATTCCCATAGCTGTGTGGGTTAAATGAATACAAATATGCATGCATAAAACATGTAGATGTTAATATTGGCTATCTTTTAGATTATTTATCACTTGTCAATAAGGGAAGGGATCACAAGACACAGGGAGGGCTAGGTGAAAAAGCCATCCAAATACCTTTTACACAGATTATTATTAATTCAATCAATAGATACAACAGACACAAGGGGCTGCATTAACAAAGCATTTCTGATTGGGAGATGAATCCTCTTTTAAAAGCCCTTGACAGAAGTTGAACTCATATATTGGACCGGTGTCCCTATTCAGAGCTCTTGGTGCATCATGGGCAGAAATGCACACATTTGGCTCCCAGGGCTCCATGGTTAGGGTGTGTGGGAGGCACAGACATTTCCCATCAGCAGTGTCTTTGGCCAGACTCACCTGACATATTTCCTTCTCTCTAGAGGTAGGGCTGGATGTGCTATACTATATACAGTTCAGGTGTCTTCCTGAAAGATACAGGCCCTTGTTGGGTGGACACAAACAAAGTCAAGGACAATCTGTGCATATGTATATAAGGAGCCCAAGGCCCTGCTTTGATGACATTGATGGCCCCGTGTGCACTGTGGGAGCTTAAGCAGTTCAGGGTCAATTTTTTCCAGTTGGTTTGTTGCTTGGAAGAGCAGGTTACACCTCAGTCTCTGAGTGTAAGTTGGCTGAACTGAGCTCATCTAGGTTTGACTGTGCTTATTCCAAGGAAATGAATACCACTGTGAATAAGTGAAAAGTGTTCTCTCTGTGAAAGTGGAAGCAGGGGTAGGGTTTCTGTGGAAGTGAAGTCTCCACATAAGCCAGGAAGAATACAGCTCTGAGAAGGTGCTTGTGTGTTGGGTTGATGAACCCCATCCTCACTGTGCTGCTCCCACATTGTAGTTCAAATAGTCTTTATTTCTAGTTCTTTCCTAATCACTGTGAAGGGCAGACAGAGTGGTGAACTCCATGAAATGTGAGGCTAATGCTGACCTGAAAGAAGGACGAACCACATTTGTTTTGGTGTCTATATCTGGTTTCTTGTTCCATGTATAAAAAGTTCTAATACCTGCCCTGACAAGCTGTCAGAATTTTTATTAAGCATTTTTTTAAAAGACACTCTCCAAAACCCTTATTAACAACCCTATTAACAATCCCCACTTAGCATTAGTAGCAACCCAAGTGGTCACACAAACCCAAATGCTCCTATAGTCTCACTTAAGCTGTTACCTAGGAACCAAATCTGCCCTGGTTTGAATGATTGTGAACTTTATTTATGCAGAGGGTAAAATATACATAGAAAATAGCACATCATTGTTTCATTAACATCAATAATCATGAACCTTAAAAATAAAGGTTAAGAAATTTAAAGTTACTATTTCAAAATTTTCTTTTGCTTTTAAGAAATGAATTGTTCTCTTAAAAGTTAAAAACAAAAGCAAAAGCCTGCACCGAAAATCCAAGTCCCAGTGCCTGCAAAGGATGAGAAGAGGCTGCAGGGAGCTCTGAAGCGTTAGCTTGCAGTGCAGTCCTTGTGTTCTTTCACTGAAAAATTAGACACAATTTTAAACCTCTATCCAGACTGGGTATGAAATCTTCATTTACCTTGAAACAGATTTTTTTTTTTTTGTCTTAGATAGAATGCTGGCAGAGTGTATAAAAGAATTCAATTCACAGCTGTTCTACTTTTCTAATGTAAGAAACATTAATCAAAGCTTTAAGTTATAAGCTTTTCCATGTTGCTCAGTACCCTAGTTCAACAAAGATCAATAGAGGCCATCCCTGTGTTTCTCTCGCCTCACCAGGAAGCAGAGGCGTGATTATGTAAATGGAGCTCTGCACCTCGGCCAGCTTGCTTATCTCCCAAGCCTTCTGCCTGCTGCTCCTGGCTCCCCAAGCAAGTGCCTGCCTCTCTCTCTTATCTCCCAACAAAGCTCCAAGAGGCACGGACTGAAGCCAGCGATGTTAAACAATGACGCATGGCTGATTTTATTTGTAAGTGATTTATTTCACTGAATTTGATTTTTTTTCACGTTGTGTGTAAGATATTTGTTAACAAGTCAGCACAGGAGAGGCAAGGCTGTGTTCAGAAGCAATTAGCACGGGCTAGAAATCTATTAAGCATCCTTATAGCTGAACCAGGGAAGGTGAAGGAAGCCCCTCACTGAAAATTTCACCATTCAGAGACTAAATATCACACTCTGACAGGCAATCTGTAACAACATGCAGAAATTTACAAGTAATAATTTTATTCTTTGACAAAAAATCTAATAATCGTATCAACAATTTAAGTGGCAGCACATATTTTTTTCAAATTGACAATACTATATAAAGATAGTATGTGTCTGAAAACAAGGAAATCCATGGAAAGTTCTGCAATTCCACTAGCCTACTAAATGAAAACCATTATAAGCTACTTTCTAAAGGCCCTACACCAGGTGCTGCTCTGGTCGGTGGCTGGTCTGCATGACACCAACCACTCCAGAGAGCAACGTGCACGCGGCACTCTGTAATGATGGGCCTGGGGACACTGTCCTTCCATGTCTCAGGCATTAATCCCTGACCCTCGTATCTCAGCAGCATAATCCCCATTTAGCATTAGTAGCAACGGCTTCAACTGTGAGAACTCTTTTTTTGATAAGTATGCAGTGATTTGGGCATCGCTTTTAAACAACATATTCCCAGCTCAGCAAGAAACCCACACTCCTGAATGAACCGGAGCACATTATTGAGAAAAAGTTCATTAACCTTGCTAGATTCGAGGGTTAACAGGATAGCTGAAGAAAGGAACACAGTGAACAGCTCGGATACAAAACAAATTAAAATGAATGTCATCATTCCTTTTGAAATTCATTAGTTGATTCAGAGGGTGAATGTTCTTCTTAAATTTGCAAGCATTTATCTGTGAAAAACAGGTGTACATCTGCTACTCAAATGCTTCTTAAGCGGGAGGGAGGGAGAATAATGTAGACACTCACCCGTTCCACTGAGAGAGTAGCTGGGAGAGGGAGAAAAGACTTGAGCTGCGAAATCCTCAAATGTCATGACTTCCCGGTGGTTTTGAATTATTGCTTCCAGATACAGAGCTCGCTCTTCGTAGCTGCAGTAATTGGTTAAGGAGACAAACACACGTGCAAACAGCACGTGGAGCAACGGACAATTTATTCTAAATGCAGTTAGTTACTAGGCTTTCCCAGTCCTGTGTGAAAACGCATCTTGGAAACTCTTTAGCTTTTTGCCAGAAAGTTAGATATTTGTCACATATAATAGTGAGATGCTAGTTTTTAAGGCCTAGATTTCCTTAGGGCTTCAATTATATTCAACAGTAATATCATTAAAAAATTTGTGCACCGAATGTTATAGGATTATATCAAAGCACTGTATTATCTCTAAGGCTGACTTAAACAAGAACAAGAGAGGTGGGTGATTGTGACAACTGCAATGGCATGGTGTGGCAGCCTTTATCTTCACTCCCAATCTGGGCCTGCGCCAATGAGAATTCTCAATCTAACAACATAGGGAACTGATACTTCAAGTAAAAGCTGGTTATATAGTGGTGCATGTTTTCAACAAAAGTAAGGAAACACAAGTTATTGGAAAGAGAAGGCCAGGAGTTACATTCTGCAAGGGTTTCAGAGCCTCTGACCAGACTAGACTAAGTGATGAACATTAGAAAGTAAGAGTGTATGTGGAGGATATAGCAAATGGTATGCAGTGCAACTGCAGAGAGGGAGAGGGAGAGGAAGGGGAGAGAGAGACAGAGAGAGAGAGAGAGACAGAGAGAGACAGACAGAGAGAGACAGAGAGAGACCTCTGCCTTCTAATTAAAGCTGCAGCCTGGAACACACAACATTCAAATGTGTAATCAAAAACCAGTCACCAATAAAACTTACAAGCGTAACACGCTGAAGCAACTTTCCAGCTGTCTTAATAGGACCCCTGCGTGTGGCAGCCTTTCACAGGGCAGAAAGCAAATCTTCCCCTTTGTGTGAGCTTCTGTTTCCTCTGAAGGTGAATCATGCACTTCCAATAACAGGAAACGTCAGAATGATCTGACAATGGATGGAGGCAATGCACATAGAACTTTAGGAATTAGCACTTGGGGAAGCTGGCATGATGTCTCATTTTCCCCTTCCTCATTATTGATGCAAAAGTTAAAGGATGTGTTTTGATTATTTTGAAAATTGTGCCATTTCTTCATGAACACAAAACCCAGGGAATGTGGATTCACACTGGTTAGTTATCTGGGGCTGCTTCTGTAACTCTTGCTTACATTCCGTATATCTTAAAACAATCTTTACAAGATGTCTACTTGGAAAATATAGGCTGGGAACAGTTACGCCCTTCCAAGTAGCTTCTTTACATCTTGTTTTAAAACTGGAGACACTCTTCTATTTTCTTTTGGTAAGGTCTTGACAATGATTGCTAGATGTAGACTCTCTCCCCACTCCTTTAAATCTTCAGGGAATGGTGGCACACTGTGAGGGGCCAGAGTCATTCTGGAGCAGTGCTGTATCACCTGGTAGCCACATGTGACTATCAAAATTGAAATGTTCATTAACTGAAATGCAAAAGGAACAACTATACTTCCCTGCCTCACTCCATATATTTCAAGTATTCAGCAGTCACAAGAGCTGGGGGGGTTACAGGACCTGTACACAACTATAGAAAGTAATATTGGGATCTCCTTTGTACTAGAATTTCCCTTTAAGCTTGCTCTACACAACTCTTTAAAAAAAATGAAGAAAATGTATTGGAAGCTTTCAAAAGTGGCCCCTCTGAAGATTTACGATTGTTTCTATGGATGGTCACAACAGCCTCAGGCCTGGGCAGCATGCTCCAGAGCTGGCTCCTAGGCTGTGGGCTGAACTCCTGGTGACTTGCCTTAATGAACAGGCTGCCAAACTTCCTCAGCCAGAGGAGCCTGCTCAGGCCCAATTCTAGAGGGACCCACTAATGCCATTCACGTCTCATTATGAGCATGCTCATTCTGCACAGCACTTGGCTGTCAATGCAGAGCGGCCCTCCGTGTATGGCCCCAGCGAGCCGCTGGTCCGGGGAACAGCAGGACGTTAGGCCTGAGTGGCCGTCTGGCGAACAGGCCCTCTCACACTAAGCTGGCACGTGCTGGCCCAGCAGGGGCTGAGCCAGGCGTGACAAATTACTCAAAGAGCTGAGCTAAACTTATGGCTGACAACCACCTGAGCCTTCAGACTGCTGTGGCCCACTGTCAACGTTCAATTCATGCCTCCCCCCTTGCAGTACAGTCTGCTTGTGGGCCTGGGTTAGAGCAGACACGTCCCTCTAAGACCTGCCACACTCTGCCTAGTATCACCCTGCTGTCTCCTGAGAGATCCCACTGTGTCCAACACATCCCCATACAGAGCTGGGAACAACGGTGAACAACACAGAAATATGTGCTCCCTTTGCTAGAGTCTCCATGGAAGACTTATCTGGAAAGTAACCTTGTTAATCAAACTCACAATCAAACCTACAGAAGGACTGCTGAACACAGATCCCAGGTGGCTGTCTATCAGCCGCATCCTGGGTGACACCATCCAACTGTCAAGATGCTGGTCCCCGTCATGGCGTCATGGCTAAGAGATCTGGGCTCTTAGGAGGAGGTCTAGCCCTGCACTCACAGGGGGCAATCATCAAGTTTTGGGATTCTCCCACTCCGTGAATGTTTATGGTCTGACTCTTGTATCTCAGAGCTACAGACAACAGAGAGAACCAAAAGTGCTTCCAGAATTGGGTACCAAAGGAGGATAGGATCAGTCCCTAGACTGTCACAAGTCACACACACTCTTCACTCCCCTTTCGGCAGTGTTAACTGGCATTAAATTGGGTGTTGTCCTTTAAACAAACATCTTTCAGGGGTTGGGTTCAAAACTAAGAGATATCAAATGCAACTCATTTGGGGCCAAGCCAGAGCATGTTAAATACCAAGACAAAGAGAAAGTAAATATGACTACGGCTTGGACAGTGCTTTGAACAGCCAAGAACCATGAATGCCCAAATAATCTGTTTAGTAGTCTTAGCAAAAATACAGCCCTGGTTTGTTTATTTATTTGTGTGTGGTGTATGTATGCATACCTAAAGCTGTGTACCATGAATATGTGATGGTACATGCATCCATGAAAGTATATAAACCTATGTGTGGAGAACAGAGATCTTGTCAAATGTCTTAATTGCTATTAATATTAATTTTTGAGACCTAAAACTTGCTACTTTGGCCACACTGGCTGGCCAGTGAGCCCTCAGATTTGTTTGTCTCTGTGTCCCCATCATACCTTAAATTAATGACATGCTTCTGTGTCCATCTTTTAGGTGGGCAATGGAGATTTGAACTCAGGTCCTCATGCTTACACAATAAACACTTTACCCTGAGGATCAGATCCAATACTATATGTATTGGAACTATGAGAAAGGGTGAATTGTAGCAATATTATCTGACATTTATTATCTTCAGAGCCTCAAAAAAAAAAAAACCCAAAACATTACCAACAGTACCATCAAAATGACTGTAAGACCCTTCTAAGGCATATGCATGTGGCTGATGAGGCACTGAGCCATAAATCTGACACCCATTTTCATACTAGGCACTGTTCTTTGCTCTCTTAAAAGTACTCCAACAAACACAAAACTTTTAATTCTGTTTTGAATGACTATCTCACTAATATAATAAAAATACTTTCCAAGTAGCAGTTTTCTCCTTGATCACTCTACTGAGAGAACTTTCAAATTACTAAGCAGAAACTCATCTTGTATTTGTATTCCACTCCCCTCCTCCCCCATTTAGTGAGGTCTTACTATGTAGCCTAGCTTGGCCAGGAATTCACCGTCCTCCTGCCTCTACTTGCTAACTGCTGGGACTACAGCTGCTATGCTGGCTGTATTTGAGCATCCTTCACAAACTACTTCTACTATTTTACATACAAATTTCATGAGTTATTAGTGCTCCACTGAGATGTCTCCAGCAGTTATAATCAATATACCTTGCTGACTCTGCTGGCCATCCAGCCCTATGCTTCCAACTTTAGTCTGATTATTATTTGGTGTTTTAGAATAGCAACATCATGAAGGAAAGAAGATGAAAGGTCTAGGTTTTGGTTTTGGGTTTTTCCTCACAAGATTGGTGACAAGGATAGGTTGCTCCAAATTGCAGCTTCAGCTGTCTTAGAGGTAAAATGGGGATGTGAGTGGACTGATGGAATCCTACTTAGGAAGCCTCCGCACAGGACTCCCACGGAAAAAAAGGCACAGCAAATATGCATGTGTGGGCTCAGAGGTTCTGTTCAAGGAACCCTGCAGTGGATGAGCTGGGAGAACCTCTGGATGGGCTTTGCAGCAACCAAACTACATTATTGATTGGAAAATGCCAAGTGCTTTCTGATGCAACAGTTATTACCGCCCCCGCCCCCACACACACCATGCTAGAACTGGGATGAGAATCTAGATTTTCTAACTTTCACTGCTCTCTGTGAAGAACATGAATTCCAGAAAACATGGTTCAAGTTCAGGATCTCATGCAAGGTTGGGAGCTAAACTCCCAATGAGGACAAACACCAGACTTAAATATGTGTGGTCTACAAAAGCTAATCTGTGATGTAATCTATACACAGGCTATGTGACTGCAAGGAATACAGAAAACCAACAATTCTCCCATTTTAATCTCCCTCTTTGCTATCCTTCTCTTCCTCCTCCTCTCTCCCCTCCCCTTACTCAGGTTCTATCTATGATGGTTGACTGGTGAGCATTTCAACCATCTGTCCTGGAATTTAGAAAAGGCATTCTGCAGCTTGCATTTTTTTTTTTAATCCTTCGGAAGCTGTGTTGCTTAGCCTTTCTCTACATTTTCCAAGTGTGAACATGATATTCAGGCTGGCCTCAGAGGAAGTCTGCCTTCTGATATTGGGGTGTGTGCTATACCAGTCTCTTCATGTTCCTATCCTGGAGTTTCCACACACAGCAACTTATTAGTAACAAAAAACAAGCCCAAAAGCTAGCCAACTTTGAGGCCATCAGCCTTCTGATTCTCCAGTGGCCCTCTGCAAAGGAGAGACAGTCATGTTTTACAATGTCGGAGAGGTGTCACAT